GTATGAGTTATGTAGTATAATCTGATCCAGTCTGAGGAACACAGACATTGCGAATGGAAGTAGTGGGCGGGAGCCACATCATCATTCAATGTCACGCATGCGGCCAATTAGCAGGCCTGAAATCAGTGGTCAGCCGGACCAGATGTGGGAGGAAGGGGTGTGGTTTTTAAAAGAAAGGAACGGCTTTGAGAAAGCCAGTGCATCTCCAAGAGGAAAGGGAGAGGCTGGGGTAACAGAAACCAGAACCCCCACGGGCCCAGGTGCTTGGGAATCCTGAAGCAGGGGCATCTGGTGCTATTTCCTGTGCCTGGAAGGAGAAACCCCGGTGGGGAAGGGAAGCACCCTGGGACCCTGTGGAGGAGGCAGCCTGGCTGTGCTACGCAAGAGGCTTCACCTGCCTGGCTCAGCTGGCACAGCAGCCTCTCTCTCCTTTTGCTAAGAGAAGTCACTTTCCCACGGGCCGCCAGGCAGAACGGAGGCAGGAGTTCTGGGCAACCTTCTCTGGCAGCAGCCTTGCCTTGAGGGTCCCAGATTGTAGCACCAGATATACCAATCCATTTCAGACTCCGCTTTATTTTCTTTAAAGTGGATCTTCAGTATCTACAGATTTGTCCTGAAGAACAAACCAGATGTCGATAAAGGGCTCACTTAACCTAATGCCGGGAGCCCTGGTGTCATGGTTACGAGTTCAGCTGCGATTTGTAAGGTCAGCAGTTTGAAACCACCAGCCGCTCCACGGGCGAAAGGTGAGGCTTTCTGCTCTGTAAACAGTCTCAGAAACTTACATGGACAGTTCTACCCTGTCCAATAGGGTCGCTCTGAGTCGGCGCTGACTCCGTGGTAGAGTTTGGTTTGGAGAGTAACCTAACGCCAGGTACATCATAGGTGTCCAAGAAAAGGCAATGGTCTTGGTCTGCCGAGAAGTGGGTATGTGAGTTGTTACTTAAAAAAACTCACTGCCATCGAGTCAATTCTGACTCATAGCAACCCTATAGGGCAGGATACCATCGCCCCAGTGGGTTTCCAAGACTAACTATTTATAGGAGTAGAAAGCCTCATCCTTTTTCTCAGAGCAGTTGCTTCCGAACTGCTGACCTTGTGGTTAGCACCCCAAAGTATAAATCTACTATTGTTAACTCAGAACCAATGAGCTTATGTATTATAAGTCATATCATGGATGCATGAAACTTACACTTCAATTATATTCTATCAAAGAGAAAAATGGGGTGAGACTGGCCCAAAAGCATGTAGATCTGCTGGATCTTGAATAAGGGCCACTCAGTGTATTTAGAACTTAACGGGAGCTCAGTGCCTTAAGTAAACGTGGAGGCCTTTGTATGGTATAGGAGGTGGAGTTGCACTAGGTTGCAAACTTACTAGGGTTGGGAAGGCTAAACCTTTGACCCAGACCACCATGTTCTCTAGTGGAGGGATTGTTAAAACATCTTATCTCAAGTAGAACATCTTCACCCCCTAGCGTTTGGCACTGATTTCAAACCAACCTGAGTTAAAGTTCA